ATTACTTGCTGTACAAAGATCTCATGCAATAGCCTCGTTCTCATAATTTTCTTTTTCTTGATCAGCTTTTCCTCTATCGTTTTGGAACATAATGTGTTGTAGCTTAACTAATATAGTTCGTCGTTTTGCTTACCTGTCACTTTCCTTGACAAAAATCTGCAGTAATCCAAATGACAATGCTCGTGGTAGCGTACTTCTATGGCTACAAAATCTTTACTCCCAATGTGAGCTAAAATTTATTCTTCTTTTTCCTTTTCGGTAGTCTCTCTTAATTTACTCCCGTAGTACGTTTGTGCTATAACTAATTTATCCAGTTTTCGTTTTCTGGTGGCCTGCAAAACATGCAACGTTATTGTTACAAAAATGTCAAGAAATAATGCAAGGATTACGTTAAACCGTATCTTGTCCACCTTGTATGAGCCTTGTCTTTTGCAAATTATGCATTGCTCTGGTAGAACATTTATTTCGCCTGGCTATGTTTTCATCACCACCAAGCAATGTTCGTGGTGATATTCGTTCTTGTGCACGCGAGGTCCTATGTGTGACAGGAGTGCTCGTTTCACTTCGTGTGAATGCATCAATAGTATTCGTTTTTTCCTTTGTTCTTTTTTCGGCTCTTGCGCCTTTTTTTTTATCACAGAAACGAATTTAGCATTCCTTACGAAAACGCACATTAGCAATTTCTTCTCGCACTGTCTCTGTCTGGACCGAGCGACCAACGTTTGACTCGTTTGGAAACGTTTGCCGCAATTTTATTAGGTTCCCCATAAAAACGAATCCACTTTTCACAATATTCACTTACTTTATCGATTGTATGTGCCGTTAATTGACACAATTCGCCTGACTAACCATCAAAATGAATGAAACATTCATCTATTCTGTTGATTTGCTCGTTGTGACTTGCAGAATTGTACTCAGAAAACAGTCAGAGTTAATAACGATTTAATTGTATAGTTTATCCTTATATATTCTCCAGCATTGCGTCACTTTACACATTACTTGTGCATGTATGACGCTTAAACACACCAAAGCGGGAAGACCCACCTTTCCTATCGCTTGGGTGGGTGTGCGCGTTATCTTGCTCAGCTTATTTGCACTATCACGCAAAGCTAGAGTGTATAAATTATAGAGTATTTACGTACCGTATGTATAAATTTCCGTATGTTTAGAGTATATACATCTTTCCGTCAGAAAGGTGGATCTGCCCGATTAAGTGCGTGCACGCATTTCCGACACAATGAGCATTAAAATTGAACATATGTTCCTGTTATGAGTCAACGTTTGTTGAGTACATTCTCCGTACTTCAAGTAATAATGTCAAAAGATCATACACACCGCGGAATTCAAGATGGCGCTTAGTCGATCAAAATATCCAACTTTGGTTTTACATTGTGAAAAAACAGCGCGTTTTGGCGTGTGGGAACAAAGATATTTGAAATCATCGCATTCGACTCTACTACTTTCCGTTGAAATATTTTAGCACCGCGATGGGGCGATGAGACGAAACATTTTCGTGCCAGAACGGCCTATAAGTAATAGCATGGTTTCTCGTGCAATTTGAAAAACAAGCACTTGTGAGCCAATGCAATGTTAAACGTTAAAGGAACACGCATGTAGAATTTCTTTGTCTATGATTTAAATCACCCAATCATAACGTACGTATGACACCATTTGCTGTATACCAAGAGGTGGTTCTAATGGGTGCGACTGTACCGTGCAATTTTTTGCTGACAAGAGGGCCAGGGCAGCACTTCTTGCGATAGAAACTTCTAGTTATTAAGTAATAGTATAGTTTCTCGTGCAATTACGGCTAAACATGCACTCGTGAGTTTTTTAAAACATGCACTTTGGGAGTGAGTTTGGGTCCCCATATCGTTGTTGTAAGCTTGCGAATTTTGTTCTTGATATTTATCTATTACCTAACGCATGCAGATTTAGGTTTTCGATCAATTGCAGCATGTGAGTGATGTGACACCAATGACTTTTGAACAATGAAATATTATCGGGCTGCATTGGGGTGAAGATTTTCACCTGAAACAACAAATTTTGCGATGGCGATTAACTATACAGCAAACAGCATTTGTTTGCATATTTTTTTGTTCCTTTTTAAATTGAATCTTATTGTTCAGTGATATCTGCGTGTTGTGATTAGGCAAATGGGTTGTCGAAGAATCCGCTCCTCTGCTGGTTCACAAACACTCTTCGTTTTTATCTTTTTATTTATTTTACGAACTACAATTACAATACATCACAGGAGTATTTCTATGCTATCTGTGTTATAATTAATTATTTGGCAAATAGATAACATTTAACAGTTGTCTGTTCAGTTATAGATACACGGGTATGATGTCATTTGAGGTAAGAACTAAAAAACTAGACACGTGCCGCCGAGATGAGTGATCACATGTTGTTCTTATCACAAATGACGTCTTACCCGTGTATCCATAACTGAACAGACCACGGTTTGTTCTATTTGTTTTATATAATAAAACCACAAAAATTCCCATATTAAACTGGCAAACAAGACCTTTTTGTTTTCCCCAACACTTAAAAAAGTTAAGATTTTGCAAGTATCACACGTACATGATCTATAGGATTGAAGAAATACTATTGGCTAGCTTAAAACACGTGCCAGAATGTGATTGACTAACAAAATAAACAAGCAATGGCTCACTGACCAATGTAGTAGAAATTGTGTTACAGCCATTTGCAATTGACCGTGCGGCGTGCATAAATTAAACCTTTGTTATAGTTTCAAAACTTGACGTTACTAACGGCTAACTCATTGTTGCTAAGGCATGCGCGTTAAGTTACGTAAAATGTTCTTTTTATATAATAAATAACTGTGAAATGTCGAAATTTGGCAAGTATGGAAAGACGTTTGAAAACGTTATGATGGTGTGAATAACTATTACTGCGCGTTGAATCGTCGAATTACCCGATTCCAGGTTTCAATTAAAAATAACAATCGTCGGCCATTGCCGCTGGCAAAATTGGATGGATTTTTTAGAAGCAGATAAAACGATGTACTGTGCGTAAAGAACGTTCTTCAGATAAGACGTTAATAGTATAGAATTTGGACTAAGCTACTTTTATATTTGATGCTGGAATCGGGGCTTTTTATTTGCAATGTAGCTTGTCTGGTCAATGGATTTGTTAGAAGCGATAAAACGACCTACTGTGCGTAAAGAACGTTCTTCAGATAAAGACGTTAGTAGTATAGAATTTGGACTAAACTACTTTTATATTTGATGCTTGAATCGGGGCCTTTTATTTGCAATGTAGCTTGTCTTCATAATTGTAATTGAAAGTTTTTATTTGTAATTGTATATTGAGTTCCTGTGGCTATCATGTCTGTCAAATTTGTATTAACTTACAAATAAAGATGTTTTTTTGTTGTCTAACTTTTAATAAACAATATATAAAATTACAATTATTTAAAGAATGAAGTTATTGATAAATTGTTTCAATTAAATTAACAACTTTTTCATTATGTCAAACATATTGTCAAACTCCTACAGCTTAGCTCTTTGGTTAAACTTCACTTGTGTGTTGTGACCAACAATTGTATGTGAAAAATGATTAGAATTATGTTTGATTCACCACATTGATCAACCAGGAGAGAGAAATTATTGCAACAAAGGGCTCGAACATTTAATTTTTGCTAAAATCCATAAACTTCATTCATGTCACCAACAGAACTTAATCTGACAAAAACCAGTTATAGTTACTCTTAATGGCATGAAATGTTAATACTTTACACAGTAAGTTGTTTACCAAAAGGTGAAACACAGATACACCAGAAAACGTTTTTAAAGCATTTGACAACAGGGGGGAACTGTGCCAAGCCAACACCAATCCAATTCACAAAAGCATTCAGGAAGCTTTTTTATGTTCACTTCTCACATCATCAATAAGCATCAATGTCAAATATCTAAATAATCTCCTGATTGAATTTAAAAAGGCAGAAATAACAAAGTTAAGTCATGTGGACCATATGACAGTATATGTTTTACAAATTGCTATTCAAGCACTCTACTGGTGGACCAACATGCTGCTGCTTTGTTCCAACTTGCTCAAAAGGTCATTCAAGCTTCACAGGTCACAACTGTGATGAATACAAAATATTTATGCATCAGATGACCTTCATAGTGGCCATGGAGAATATGATATTTTAAAACACCTGGGTAGACAATTTGGTGATTCGAATGTCCTTCCAAACGTTCTTTGCAATATATAAACTAACTGGACGTAATTTGATTTGTCACTTGTTTCAGCCACGACCGAGACTTCAAATGTTAGAACAAATATCGTCAAGATTCTCTGCAGAATTCTTATATGATAAAATTAAAACTGACGACAAACCATATACCGAGTACACATCTGGGCAGATACATATCTACTTTGAAAATATTCCGAATATCAAAACAGACGTCGATTTAATGGATAAATTTCTTGAAAGCTTGATGTGTTAACTGTTCCACACAAAAAATATTAAAAAATGGCCAATCTATAGAAACATTTGGGTTTATTTGCCAAAACCCTTACGTAGAACTATATATTATATTACGATCTGGCTGCACTCATCTGGCTGGAAACATGGCCGTCGTTTAAAATACCTGGATTGTATAACTCAAAACAGGAGACACGAACATCAAAGGTTCCGACATCTAGTGGCGCTTCTGTTACAGCGCGTTCAGACTGAGTGCTCCGGTACGGTGCTCAGGCACGGGCACCAATGTGAACACAACATTTTGATGGTGCCTGAGTCAAAGTGCCCGGGTTTGGGCACCCCCAAATTAGGTAGTACCCGAGCACGGTGCTCAGGCACGGGCACCAATGTGAACGCAAAGAACGGCGTCACAACAGAGATGGCGGGTGCTAAATGGACGAACGAGGAAACAGTTGCTCTTTTGAACGCTTATAACTCGGAAACTGTGCAAAACAACATTGATAGTATGAGCTCAAACAAAGAATTGTTTAACAATATACAAAGAATCATGAAAGAAGAGTCGAATACAGAAAGGACTGTTGATCAAATTAAGACAAAGGTGAAGAAGCTGCGAAGTGGATATGTAAAATTGAAGGACAGAATGAAAACATCTGGATCCGAACACCCATACTTCTCAAGCGCTCTTAGCAGCGTGGAAAAAATGGCTTTAAAGCACTGGGACTTGCTGGATGGAATTCTCGGTAAGATAGCATTATCACAGCTCTACCTAAAATCTTTGTTTTTGTACCAGTTATATGTTGTTTTTGAAAATACTGAAAACAATTGATGTAAACATAATTATTGATTAAATATGAAGGTACTAGGCCGGTTAATGATCCTCCTGAGGATCAGTTGTTTCAAAGTGAAAGTGTGGTACAGACAGAAGACTCTGGACAGGATTGTACTGGTCAATTGGTCACTGGTGTACATGCTACTAATCATCATGCTGCTGATCTCGATGTTGCTGATCATGATGCTGCTGGTCACGATGCTGCTGTACAAAATACAAGAAAAAAGAGCTGGAAAATCAATTCAAAGACGATCCAATAAAAGAGCTAGACTAATTGATGTGGTCAAGAGTTCTAATGATCAATTTGAAGAATTACAGAAGACATTGTCAAACAGTGTTTTAACTCCAGAAATGCGCGAGGTTGAACGTCAAGAAGACAGAGAATTTTTTTAAGGAAATATTTTCTAATCTCTGTAACACAATGGTTGGAATGACTCAAATGTTGACACAGGCCTGTCATGGTGCGTCACAGCACGTACCTTTCGGCAATCCAATATACCCACAAAATACTCAATTTTCTCATCACATGACCCATGGTTTTCAACCTCATGTTTTATCAAGAAGCTCATCGCCATATAGTAGCAGTCCTTCGGATAGAGTGACACCATCACCTCACACTTCATCATGTGAAGATATTGATTTAGATCAATTTGCACAGCATGACTAAAATTCTCACGAGGATAACATACTTTACATGTCAGCATATAATGTGAAGGTCAGACTATATAGATTGTTAAGTTTAAGTTAAGTGATCAACTGTTGCATTGATTGGATTCTTGAATGCTTTGCATATTAATTAAAAGGTGCAATGGTAAACAGTTTTGTTTCTAAATACAAGTGATGGTAATTCATTTTTTATGTTGAAAAAAGCTTAGTTAGCCTTAATAGTGTTATTGTTCAAATATTGTGCAATTATAGACATTTTATCAGAAATGTAAAAAATAAAATGACTGACCATGTCTTTTTCTTAAGTGTACTTTTTGCTTCTTCCTCATCTTTAATGAACTCTGCTTAATTTGATGATTCCTTGACTCAACTAACAATGTATTCTTTTGTTCAGTATTTATTTTTCTATTGAAGAGCCTTCCAAATTCTCAATAGATATGTGGGTATAAAGATAAGGGCATTAAACTAGGCTGTTATGGACTGGAGTGTGAGCAAGAATGACAAGTGTTATTGATTGTTTTGTCCCTACACATAAGAAACCAGGTAACATGATGAATTTAAACAGGAACAACTCTTTAATAAAGTAATATGCTTAGCTTGTACATGTATAATCTGTCTATATTTTAATAAAGTTGCAGGTTTCTTTTTTGTCTTTTGTGAGCCAACTAGGTAAATTTTTCAATTTGCTAAACTATGCTGCTTAAATGCTGCTTAAATGGAACTACAACAGGTAGTCCAACATCAGGTCAGTCACTCTGGTTGATTTTTCTCCAATTTACTGTTTTTCTTCAACAAGAATGTTTATTTGTGAAAGTCTGCAATAAAAACACTTCTTGGCTATCTTTAAGCATCAAAAAATTTCAAAGTACTTGATTGAATTTTCATTTTAGCTGTTGCCATCAATAATGAGAGACATAATGAGTTAGTACTGTTCTAATATCTTCACCATTTTCAACAGTTTCATTTTCCTCTCTTGTTGAATTTGATTCTGAATGGTAATCCAAATCATCATTATTCCTGTCATCCCATTCTTGAAGATACTCAGCATTACCTTCCTGACATATATTGTGCAAAATGCAGGCGGCAGTAACATGGAGTGAAACCTTCTCAATGTCACATTCTAAAGGATGTAGAAGGCATCGCCAGCGACCTTTCAAAAGGCCAAATGCTCTCTCAATTTGAATGCGTGCATGGTTTAACCTATAATTGAAATATTCCTTCTCATGTCCCAAATTAGCACCAGCATAGTTTTTCATTAGGTGTTTCAGTAAAGGATAAGCAGGATCGCTGATAAGGAACGGTTCAATGTTTTTTCCATTAATTTGTTTGGTTAAAGTACCACCCTCGATTAAATTCCCATTAATGGTTCTTTGTCCAATGTTTGAACAGCTGAAAACACGTGCGTCATGGGATTTGCCAGGCCAGCCAACAAAAATGTCTGTAAAGTGGCATTCACTGTCACAAACAGCTTGCGAAATTACAGAATGAAAAAATTTTCCGTTGAAGTAATCAGCATGATGCATTACAGGAGCCCTAATAGGGATGTGGGTGCCATCTACTGCGCCTAAACACTGGGGGATATTCCACTTTTTGGCAAAGCCATCTACTATTTCTTTTAAATTTCTACGCTCTTGTAAACGATTCAACATATATTTTTTTGTACGTATCAAAAATCTCAGAGCTTCGTTGACTTTTGTACAAGCTGTTGACGCTCCTACTCCGAATTTGTCTCCGATTTCTCGATAATCAAGACCCTTTCCTAGCCTTTTTAACATCATTGCTACAATGATGTTAACTGGTATAGCAGGTCGCAGCCTTGTGGATTGTCGACCAAGTAAACGCATCGAATTTACTAGTTTCAGAAATAGGCGCTTTGGTAAACGATAACTCTCCAGCCATCTTTTTTCGCTCAAGTCAGTGAATTCACTGTCCAAAATGTTTTTCATGCGAGGAAAGGCCCATACACGTCCACAACGATTATGATGTTTTGATTCAATAATATTATGAATTAAAAATCTTGTCTTGCAAAATACTTTTGTCACATGTAAAACTAAAGCACGATGACCCTGCAATCTTCTGCTGGACTCTGCTTTATTATGGTGAAACATTACAATAGATACGGCCGCCATCAAACATACCATAACCAGAGTGAAATGTACGCAGAGGCACGTATTGCACATGGTTTTAAAACTTGTTAACTATGGAAGAAATCAAAATAAACATAGACGAAACTAGTAAGTACTTCGTAGTGTGAACAGCCTGCAGATCTGTGCCCGAACCCGGGTATCGTTCTCCGGCACTCAGTCTGAATGCGGCCTTACATTCTTTATTCTGTGCTATAACAAACGTTTAATTTATGCACGCCGCACGGTCAATTACAAATTGAAGACGAAGTGCAAATCAACGTTTGAAAACAGGGCTTTTTTCTTTCCTTTTTGCTCAAATATTTCAACTACTTCAAGTAGGTCTTTAATGTCTTCATTTACCCATTCAGGGTAAATCAGGTAAATCACTGGAAAACATAAGTCGAGTTTTTCTTTTACGTCAATAGTAGTACTTCATTCCGTTCCAAGTTCTCTCGCGATACAACCGGATACAACATAAACAAGAATTAAACAACCGAACAAAAAACTGTTTATGAGAAACTAACTGGAATGAAATATCCCAAAATAGTCGTAACTTTCGTTATTCTCGTAACTCTGTGACAATTATAACTACACTATTCACCTGCCTGTGGACTCCTGACGATCAAGCTTTCTGCATTAACGTCTCGACCACAGCCTGCGGTCGAGACGTTAATGCGGAAAGCTTGATCGTCAGGAGTTCCACATTCTCAATGATACCATGCATTTATATTGACCTTGGCTGTCAGCCAAATCCGTGACAAACTTCGTTGATGAACTTTTCGACGAAATAGCATCCTTCAAAGATTTATTTACAGATATTTGTTTTGATAGTTATTATTTTGATACTTTCGCCAAATTTTGTGGAATAAAACACGTTTTTCAACACAAAATTTAACAATAAAGATGCTCGATGCTATCATTTGAGTATAGCTATAAAAATATCAATATTATTGATTGAGCTTAATAATTTTGTGTTGAGCTCAATATTTTGTGTTGAGCTTCATATTTGTGTTGAGCTTAATAATTTTGTGTCGAGCTTAATATTTGTGTTGAGCTTCATAATTTTGTGATGAGCTTAGTCATTTTGTATTGAGCTTATTAATTTTGTGTTGAGCTTAATATTTTGTGTTGAGTTTGAAACTTTGTGATGGTCACAATCATTTGGTGTTGCGCTTGTTCTTGTCGGCCAACGTATATCATAATAAGGTAAATGGTTTGAACCCGGGAGTATGGTTACATGTTTGTAAATCGTTACATGTCAAATTTCTTCTTCTTTGACTCTGAAGATGACTACTGCTAAGGTTGTCGAAACGTCGGTCAACAATAACAAAAACAGTCCTTCTCAGGACTATACCAACCTGGACGATCTACATTTACAAACATGTACCGTACATCATATTACAATGGACTATATTTAATGAAGATCTGTACACTTGGGACATGTTTATATAGCTTTGAATGTTAATAATGTAATTTTCAATAAAATTGAAAGGTTTAAGGGCAACTTTTTTCCATTTAAAAGTCGTTTCGCATGATCGAAGATCGTCACGTTAGCTAAACGTCCCTGGAATATCTTGTTCAACGTTATATTCATGCGACTTTGTGACAACATCCCAACGTAATTTTGCACGAGGGAAGTAACGAGCCAAAGTAACCATTGTGTCCAAAATGTGTGCATAGATAGCATTATGAATTACAAAAAAGTTCAATTTTTCATACCGTATAGTTCGCAGTGTAGCCATCCCCACTGAAAGCTGTGTTTTGGTCTTTCATTACTCGTCAATTCCAACATCAACTTATTCAAACAATTAGAATAGTCATCATATCAAGTCGTAAATAATATTTGAAATCGTAGTTATCAGTTGCCCACTGAAATATCCACAGTAGCTGTACCGAAAATGTAAACCCACCAGGAGTTTCTGTACGAACAAGATGTCCATGTAACTGACTTTCATGATCACGTTTCTCTTTTTCTTCACCCTGAATCACATTACCACTTGGATCTTTACCGTTAGTGAAATATTTACAAACAACATCAGATCGTTTGGTGCATTCTTTAATCCATGTATCTCTTCCTGCTGCTCTTCGTTTATCGTGAGACGGGGCGCTAATAATAACCAATGAATAAAAGCAAATTTGGCTTTGACGAAATTGATTGCGGAGTAATATTATTGACATCTTGACCAATGATTCGGTCCAGCGTTTTTCTATTGACGGCATATTTGAGCAAAATGAGGATTGAGTTGCATAACCAAACAATCAAGATAATTAGACACATTCGGCGTTTTGAGAACATTTTCATGTCCCACTGAAAGTGGTTAGTATTTTATAAAAACTTGCGAAAACAAGCAGTGATATGATTATCAATGCATGTATCTACTGTCGAGGATCGCGTGTCGCGTGTTTCTCGCTCGCATCAAGTAAAAACAGCAATTGGGCCTAAACCCAAAGCTTTCTTTGCCGTTACTTTTCTCGCTTGCATCAAGTAAAATTATCAATGGGGCCAAAACCCAAATAACTGCTCCTGTTGTAACTGGTACTTGTGTTGTGAAAAAGGTTCCTCATTTGTCTTTGTTAGACTTTGGATGATGTCAATTGACAAGTCTTTGCGATTTTTCAAATTAAGCTCATAATGATGCTTTCTGTATGGCATCTCTGTCCGCAATAATGTGCCACTGTCATGTTAGATTTTGCAGTAGTTCTTTGTGGGAAACCACGAGATTCACCTAACTCACTGGCAATGGCACATAACGGACATTCCCACGCAAATTCAATCTGCCTGTCTTGGCTAACAATTAAAATGCTAAAATTTCTCTGTCAATTCTACTGTCTTTTTTATTGCACCACGTTTAACCTGTTTGTTTTTCGAACGAAATATATGAACTTTGCTTCTCAGAATATTACCAACTTCTTTATCAAACTTTCGTTCACGTCTTCGAGCAAACGATATTCTGCCAACATCATAGTCCTCTCAATTTTCTTCTACAAATCTCAATTGATTCGCAAAGTATTTCACAGTCCGCGTTGATTACTTATTTCGCACGTGCACGTGTTATTTTTCAACATGTTATTTATTTTGTGTGACAGTCAAAACAAGTCAGCGAAAATCCAAACAAAAGCATGCGCCTGAGCGACATACAAAATAAGTAAATGATAAATTACAAAATTATATCTAAACAGTTGTTAAACTAGTATCGAATGTCGTGTAGAAAATCCTTTAAATTTTTTTATTTATTTACAAGTTAGGGTGTATTATAAATGGCAAGCTTTCAAAAAGACCAAAACTATTTGGATGAAACGGAAAGTGACGACGAAATAGAAACACTAAGTCTGGGCGGTCGCCCGAAATATCAAGTTTGTCCGAACGGTGTTCACGTAGAACTCGATGGAAAAGGCGAAGGAAGAGTGGCGAAACATTTTAGGCCAGTGCATAACGAGCAAACTCCTAAAAACCTTAGTGTAAAGCCATATTTTTGTCAGTCGAGACATGGGAAATGTGGAAACAGCAAGTCTCTGTACGATGGCAAAATGACCCTGGTCGTCGATGACACGCGTTTTGTTGTAGAGAGAAACATATTTGATTCAAGGCCAAATACCATGCTAGCCAGGTCAGTTTAGACTTTTTCACGTTAAAACGCTCTCTAGTTAAAATGTTGACAAATTTTCTTATCGCTATTTGTACATTTGTATATCCAGAAATGAGCAATTTCAATAACAATAGAACTTTAACAGTACTTTAACCTCATCAACAAGTGTATCAGTACATCTCACAAACCAGATATTCTATTCCCCAAAATTGCAATCCTACTGCAACAAATGTTTCAGTATTCATTGGCAGATTACATTGCAAATTGCACTTGTAATTCAACTATCTTTATTTAAAATATTTTTATACTGTATTGCTTTGTGTATTGCCTGCTCATGGGCTGACAAATCAGTATTGTTTCCAGTGATTGTATCCAGGAATGCCGTAATGTCAATATTTCGGGGGAGGGAATATTCATATGTGTGTGCTTTGCCTAATAACTTCATTTTAAAATAAATTGTTCTTGTTGAGCTGTACCACAAATACATGAATATTTCTCTCCCCCCACTCATTTGCATTCTGGCATCCCTGAAATTTTTTTTTTTTCACTTGTATTTTTTGCTTATGTTGATAGCATTTGCTGTAACTATTGGTGCAACTTGCTTCAAGGCAATTTTGTTTATAGATATAGCCATGTTGATTGTGGTATTGCAATGTTGGATAGAAAAAAGCATCTGGAAAATTCTCCAGTGTGACATTCTGAATTTAAATATTTTTTATTCCTGCATCCCAGATGATTTTGACTCTATTCAATGGACTCCGCTAGCAGATTTGTGTTAAAAATGAAGATTCATATTCCCTCTCTGATTTTATGTTTGTTTTGTATTATGTTTGGATATTGTATTAAAATGTTTTTGAATGTCTCTTAAATCTTGTCTCATTCACTTTAAGTGCCAATGAAACGAAAATTTTACCATCTGAGTATTACTTTTAAAATGAGATATTTTAAAATGATAATGGACATTGTAAACCAGTTTATGCATATCACTTTTAATTCTTAGATATTGAGGTTTTTGCTTTGTTCGATTTATCTAACTTGTGATGTCACATTGCATAATGAGAACTAAAATTATTAGGTATTTTTACCAAATACTTTAATTCACAAGGACAGAGTTCCCTTCATTGTGATATGGTTAATGGTATAAAATGCTACCTACTAGTATCAACATAAAGTTGTCAGGAAACTGAAGAGTGTTTGAAACATTGTGGGAACTCATTATGCAACATAACATCACAAGTTACATAAATTGGAAATAACAAAAACATCAAAATCACAAGAATAAAAAGAGATATGCATTAACTGTTTTAGGAAGTACACTGTTATGTCAAAAGTTTGTGTCATTTCAAACATAATTTAAGTTGCAAATTTTCGTTTCATAGGCACTTAAAGAAAACATGACAAAGATTCTTTAATTAAATTAAATTAGATGAAAGAAACAGAACAATTAAATAGAAATATCTCTTTGACAATCATATTATATGTTCCTCAAAGTTCATAATATTTCTCCATACATTGTATTTTGTCCATGAAATTTTTAATTGTGATGTTTTAACAGGATGTTCTCTGCATCTACTGATTATTGCAAGAAAAACGAAAAGGGTGAATTTTTCGTAGCTCAAGGAGTTTCATCCACCTTATTTAAATCAATATTGGTATGTATTGCAACAATCTTAGCTAGTTATTTGCACGGAATTCCATGTTTGTGTGTAGGTACTCAATTTGTTGTATGGTTTCCTCCAGGACTACTACAGTGTTGGCATCATCAATTGCCCTCCTAGTGTTTCCATTCAAGAACTACGCGAGGCCTGTGACTATTTGCTCATTCCTTTTAGTGCAGCTGTCATCAAATGCCACAACCTGAGTAAGTGATGGTGAAACTAATCAAGCTGTTTTTAGTTAGAAAGCAAGAATTTTCAAGAGTTGTGGATGATTGTGAATGCAAGGGCATACAAACTACTTGCAGGGCATGCCTAGTGACATAATAATAAGATTGTTTTCTTAAATTTTGTTGTCTTTTTTATTATGATTTAGAGATTTTTTGAAGTTTTTTTGTTGAGCACAAATCGCAATTTGTTTTGCTTATTTGCTTTGATGGCGATAAAAGATCACATGACGAATAAATATCTTTGCTTGCGGTTCCATATCATAAATTTGTAAATATTGTTAGTTATCACTACGTGTAATAGCCATCAAGGGCTCTATCTGTCTTTTTACTTTTTACTTTATATCTGCGTTTTCCCTGATTTGTCAATTGGCAAACGTGTAATAACGATTCGTTCTTTAAAAAAAACGTTTAGGGGAGCTGCTTCACGAGTTGTCAAATGATGGTGCAAAGGAACAGTTTAGAAGATATTTAGAAGTGGATATTTTACCGTTGATGGTTCAAGCGGCCAAGGTATTAAATGCTTTTTTACGTTTTATTGAGATTGCGATGATTGAAATCTACATGTTGGATGTAAAAATTGAGTTTATCTTTTCATCATCATCTAAAATGACGTGAGGACAACCATCTTGTTTTTTTTTTCTGAAAGAGACGCTTTCTCGGAAAACACTTTTTAGATTTTCTTTTCTCAAGTCGACATTTACTTTGAACTTATCATAGCTGTCAGGGGGATATTTTAAAACTTTCTTTTCCACTAGCTAATAATTTGTAGGGATGTGCTGAATGCGTTATCTGGAAATATGGGCCTGTTTTGTACTTTGAAATACATTATGATAATTCATGTTAATTTAATTATCCAGATAACAGAAAAATAAGGAGATCAGAATTTTATGGCTCGAGGTTTACCGATATTAACTATTTTTTCGCTCGTTAGCAATGTAATTCGTATAACTAATAAGAGAACAAGAAAAGGAAAACGTCGTCTGTAACAGGTCCCATCCAGCAATATCCCATATCAGGTTAAACTTTTGCCTGATATTTACCATATAGTGGAGAAACTTTTTTCACAATTTAGGAAACAGTATGTTGTATGCAAAATATTTTTTGCGCCTGATACAGATGTTTGTGCTTTAATCTTACTCATTCTCAGCCAGAGGGTTGCTGGCGAATTGATATATTTACTAGCTAGCAAAATTATTCATCCATGTTTAGCTTGGAATATTTGTTATTTTGGGATGACGCTAACACGCTGCTACAAAAATATGACAATGCTAACTCTGAACGTACTTTGTTTACGACGTACGTTCAGCGCTTTAGCAGTTATTAGAGAATTTAAAGTTGTTGTTTACGACAAACGCTTTTTGCAGTTTTCCGTTTACGCAAAACTAAAACTCTCAAATAAGCCCAATATCCTGTACCTGTTTATCTTTTATTTATGACCAGTATCTGATCGACTGCTATCCTGTACTATCCAGTACCCGGTAAAGTGGTATTCGGCACATCCCTGATAATTTGTCTCGTTACACACATTTGCGCATGCGCACCAAATTGTTGTTTTGTTCCACGTTGGAGCTGCAAGAATCTGAACCACTCCCCAGTACGGGGAATATGCAGTAGGTCCACTTCGTGGGCATATATGGCTACGGTTTATTTAATTAGATTGCTGGCTGCTGTCGGCCATTTCATCATTCCTATTGGTCAATATGCGTGATCATGCGTAATCACATGCGTAAAATATGCGTGGCACGAAAAAATTCAATGGAGTGGCTCTACTGTATATTCACTGCACCTACGCAAGTTGAGCGTTACGAATATCCTACACACAACACTGCTCTTTCTCAAAGCGCAGATCTTTTTAGAAAATTATTCATGCCTGCCTGTCTTTGTGTGTTAGCCGTTGTATATTAAGACAATTTGTTGAAAATACCTTACGTTGAGTACGTTTTCATTCAATAGCTTGGTCGACGTGAATGTCATATTGTCATATTGACTAATGACGATATTGTCGATTGGGACGAAGAATATCCTCCTAGTACGGGAGAAGAAGATATACAAAGTAAGAGTTAAGAAATAAAAGATGTTTAGTGTGTTTGCGCAGGCTCAGTATGTAAACCGATGAGACCTTTGGGAGAACTCGAGACTAGATCAGTGCAAGCCCGAGATCGAAGGTCGGAGGTTGCACCTGCTCGAGAGTTCTCAAAAGCGTCTCCGAGGTTTGCATAAGCCAGTGCAAACACGAAAAGCGTCTTATTTCTTTATAAAACAACAGCAAGGCGAAACAGGAAAATGTAAAACAAAAGTTTTCATTTTTCTTTCAAAATGTATTCATGATTGATTTGCTCAGGTTAATGCTCGGAGTTTGCATAAGCCACTGCAAACACGACTATAGAAAATCAGCGCACGCGTTTTATTGCTTTTATTTTATAATCTGTATTACTAAATAGCGAATTAATCAAAACCATATCTTGACTGTGAGTGGTGAAATTTCTTGAAGATTTTTACAAAGCAGTCACAAAGCGGTCACAATCTAGTACTTCCGCTATACCGGATTATTTAGCGCCTTAAATCTTTTATGAAAAATTTTCATTATTAAGCCCTTAATAAGCGAGTGCCAGGTTTTACGGAGAAATAACGGATCGAGGTCTTTTTGTACAGACCGAGGTTTGTACAAAAAGACAGAGGTCCGATATTTCTCAGTAAAGACCGAGAAAGCGAGGTTATTAAAAGGTTTATTGTATGGCATTATTTGACCTGAAACGAAGCTTGCTTTCATTCTTGTCCTTGTACGCTGTTTTGTACGGGTTGGCTTTCACTCTCTAGTTTTCGTCAGTAAGAAATAAATCGTTTTAAATTGTATCGTCCTGTTATAATTAAACTGTTTTCGAAGTGTTTTTCCTTCGACTCACATTCGTAAATAATTTTTTGTGTTTTGCTGTTTGATTTACGAAGTTTGTTTGCATTTAACTGTAAAATTACGCGATTTGAACCGTAGTGCATTACGGCCAATAATGGACCTGCAAAAATGTTTCTAAACCAATCAAAGTACACCATTTTCCGGAAGTGAGACTTGCCATATAGTAAATAATTGTTATTTACCGGGCACTGAAAAAAAATTTACGATGGAAAATAATTTTTAAGCAAGGACCAATCTAAAAGGTAAATGACGTTTTTATTTTTTATATTTATAATGAAGCAATTCACGTTGTAGCTAAAATGGTTGATGTGGCTTGTTGAGACTGATAATGGATTGTTTTCTACAAACTTCACTAGATGGTAAAATCCACTCTTGCCACGATGACTACCATCTCAATACATTTCCTTAAGTATTTTATATGGCTTTTGAATCAATTTTGAGAGTTTGAAATTTACGCCGTGCGTAAACAAATTTATTGCAAAAAATATCACTTTTGCACCACGGTCAACCATCGTCGATCAGATTGCAGGAAATAGAAAATATTACTTCGCATGCATAGATAATAAACAATTTATGTTATGTTGCATTTAAAATAAACGAAAAAGAATTTTATTAGAAATATGTTTCGACTTACATTAAGTCGTCTTCAGTATAAAGGCTGAAACACACTAGGCAGTTGCTTCAGTCTCGCGTCTAAAACTACCGCTTTGCTAAGAATGAAGTAAAGTATTTACAAATTGTAGGATATATGACACGTACAATTGAAAAATGGTGTCGTAAATATTTTTATTTCTTTTTATCACATCCGCAAGACTTGTCATATATTCTATATATTTAACATTGTAAATACTTTACTTCATTCTTACGTATACTGAAGACGACTTTTAAAGTCCAAACATGTTTATGATTAAAATTTTTTGTTGTCTATTTTATACAATGTTATTGATACCTTTGATCATACGATTTTTTGTTTTTGTTGTTAGTTATTTATTCATCGGACCTAAACGGGTTTTTCAAGTATTTTGAAAACAGAGATGTTGCCAAAGAGGTTCTGAAAGAACGCGGTTTAAAAAAAATTCGACTTGGAAACGAAGGTTAGTTTACCTTGCACAAGCTGTTAGGTAATGAATGTAGGCTAGACTTACTCGGTGTAGCTGCGAGACTCATTGCGTCATGGGAAAATGAACATATTTTAATGTTGCTCGACAATTATTTATTTTCACCGTGTTTATACGAAACATGCTGACACATTGGTGTTGTAGCGAGCTTGCATGTTTGGTGGTGCCATGTAGCTTAATTTTAGATATAAATCTATTGTTTTGCAGTGAGCATGAACACCGAATTGCTTACACAGCAAGAGCAACCTTTCAGGCTGCCCGCAATATTTTTATTGCCCGTGTTGCAAGGGGAAATAAGTTTGTCGTACAGCTTACACAGCATACAATGATTAGGAGCGATGACACGGACATAGCACTTACTACAGGGTTTATCTTCTCATTCGCTATTACACAAATTTTTGATGAAAAAAGTTTCAACTGGAAGAACAATGGGAACATGTTTTGATTTTGTTTTGGAAGATTTAAGCCTAATTTGTTGGGCTAAAACGACTACATGTCAACTTTCAGTTTTGCGTGGCAAACTCGTCCAGTTGCATGAAGAACGATGGAAATTTAGGAGACATAAATCCATGAGTTTCTTATGAGTTTTCTTAGTACGTCCCGTTGTCATAAATCTTCTCTTATACAGGTGCCACTTGTGGTCCACATTTAAGTCATCGTCTCGTTCTATGTGTCGTTAATAGCTATGCATGGCGGTTTGAAAAATGAAACTTTCAAAAATACGGAGAACACCTTTGGAATGTGTCAAAAACAAGCAACATCACAAAATTAAAGCTGAGATTGTTTGTTGACCTTTTTCCCCGTCTAAAGCCAACTAATCTTTGAACAACTATCTTTGAACCATTTTTCCACGAACGGAGCACGCTCGAAAATTTATTTTCTCTTGATTCGTAGAAGCCAGGATTTAGCTTTATGTTGTGTAACGATTGTTGTGTATGCACTAGGTTATCCTACAACGAAGGAGAAGGTTCGACAACGTCATAATAGCAGCAGACCAGAAGGTTGGTTTATTTTGAGCATTCTGTTTTTTGGCTTGTCGTGATTGGTCAATATCACAACAAACGTCATTTCTGTCTTGCACAGAGTGGTGCTAGCACAACTATATTGACCAAACAACCAATACAAAATTTGCAAAGTCAACTTCCAAATTTGAATGTTTACAGCTCTTGTAAATTTTAAGAAGACTGCGACTTCAAGTAGAAACAATTGTCGGGACTGACGGACATTTCTTAGTTATTATGATTGACATTCATTGTGAGGGTTTTTAGAAGTGGGTTGTTTTATGATAGTGATGTACCATCACGATAGTTAGTTAGTTAGTATCCTTACTGCGATTAGAGTGAGAGCGAACGTCTGCACACTGTGACTGTATTCAAATACGGCAACTTGAGGTTGCATGAGTACAATATATTTAGTTAAAATTCTTTATGCGATTACTTGAATAAAAATATATCGGTGAGTTGTCGAGGACCACGATGTAAAATCGGAGGCGAATTCTCGACACAACTTAAGATAAAGCTTTGCTGCGCACATTCCTGCCTTTGTATCAAAACTTATCAACAACCCAAGTCACAAATCCACCCTTGCAGCAAGTCGCCATATGCAAAAGAGATAAATCACAAATTCGTTTCCTGTGAGCTGTTTCTGTTTGATTAATGTTTTTTATCCAATAACTCCATGAATAATCGATTAACTTTATTTACGATAGTATGTGGTAGTTAGCAGTATAGCTCTGATTACCATATACTGTAGTATATAGTAGCTATGTATTATTTAACATTACATGTGTGCACGTTAAACTACGCTCTGCCAACATATTGACTTAACTTTCCCTCAACATTGTTTTGCGTTTTTTGAGTGATGTTTAGCGACGTGTGCGAACGTTCTTAACATGTTGAGCCTATTTAACGCGAAAGATCATGGGTCAGAATATTCTACGACGTCCAGCAACTGCGTATATACAGCTACGTATACGGTTCGGTGACCAGCTTGATTAAAACACTATAGACTGCACAGAGAGCATTTCAACATTGTCGAGTATGCTGTTCAAATCGAAACAAAGTCACCAACCACGCGACGAAGAAAGTGTTGATGGAAAGTTTTTCTCGACAACGCTCGACACCCCTCACTACCACTCGAATCCCCTCACTACCACTCGACACCCCTCACTACTACTCGAAACCCCTCACTACCACTCGACACTCCTCACTACCACTCGAAACCCCTCACTACCACTCGAAACCCCTCAACAGCGTGTGCAAATGCTCTCAACATGATGATGTTGAGTGTACAATGTGGAGCGCATATTGAGTTAACATGTTGAGAGCCTTTGACGTGACCTTACGTTTTCCTTGCATTCTTACTGGGCTGACTGATGTCCCCTACGGGTCTCATTGGATATATTCTTTTGTTTACATCACGCAATCAAGCAATTTTCCGACCCATCATTTGAAAAATCAAATCATTCTGTGAATGAGTTTAAAGACGCGTTCCGTCGTCTGTCCGCTGTTGTTTTTCTACTACAGTGTTTGGCCGTTTCAGCCTTTCATTTTAGAATGTTGAAGTTGAATTCGAATCAATATACGATTTATTTCCTAACTTTGTCGCCTTTTCTCTTGATCACGAAAAATGCATTTTCACTTTAGAAGCATTTTTACTGAAAGATTGCTTTCGCAATTACGTTGCTATCATACAAATTCGTCGATATATAGAGCATAATTTACTTTTTCAAATAGTTATTGCGGTCTTGCTTTTGTTTTACTCTCTTTCAAGATTGTTGGCAACAATGATTTATTATTAAGAGGTGGAAGATGTTTACTGTGCTTGCACAGACTTATGCAAACCGAGGAGACCTTTGGGAGAACTCGAGAGCTAATCAGTGCAAGCCAGAGACCGAACGTCGAGGCTCAGCACCTGCTCGAGAGTTCTCTGAGGTTTGCATGAGCCAGTGGAAACACGAAAAGCATCTTTTATTTCTTTTATGAAATAACAATGATGCGAAAAAAAAATTTAAAAGAGATTGGCAACGAAAATTTTTATGGCATATTTTTGAACCTTTGTGATGTCTAACAACTAAAATAGCAAAATTTGTTTTCAAAAATATTTTGTTGCTGAGATATTTGCAGCAAAAGTTTTATAAATTTCGCCATCTTGGATAAAATTTCGATAAAATTATCTCGAGCGGTAGTGACGTCATTGGCTGGTAAGCAGTCAAAACAACAATACAATATACTTTGTGATTGACGGCGTTACAACACATTTAAAGCGTATTTTATGGGGTTTTTTGCTGTAATGGATGACATACACGAAAATCAACCGGGTGAGGTTCTGCCCTATCAATATGAACCTGAAGTGAAGACCGAAACAAGCGAAGAAAGCGGTTCCGAAGAGGAGAGTGAGCAGAGCGACTTGTCCTCGTCGGAAGATGAAATAGATGCTGAATTTGAGAGAGCAAATGGTGTAAAGTGTGGACAAACTCTTAGTTGGTGTAAGTGTGGACATTGTACTTTGTCGAAAAAGACAATCGAGTGTTTTTGTTGCCACGAAAATTCGCTTGAATAAGATGAGTATGAGGCTTTGCTAGGCCAAAAAGAAACTCAAGGAGTAAATTGCTTGACAACACACCAAGAATTTAGGGACAATATGCTGTCAGAAAGTGTGTTAAAGATAGATGTGTGTCGGTATCTTGAAGAAAACTGGTCCCTGTCTGATGAGGATCTGGAGAGAATACACAAGCTGTATCGATTAGTCGCACTTCAAAGATGTTCTAGGTGGATTTTTCAAATTTTAGGAAATAAACATCGAAGACCATTTCCTGCTTGTGTTTATGCTAGCATACGAAAACGCTTCGCGTCACCAGACGGACTTTATACACATTTTAAATGCGCATGTTATCACAAATTTAAAGTCGTAGACAGACGCTCTTTGATGTTCTTTGTTATGATCTGCAATTGCGATGCCATATCATTGTCGAAGGATTGTCACGAACTGCGCAATAGCAAAATGCACGAATGATCCACCCAAAACTTGTATTCATTCATAAGTTATAAAGTTAATAGAAAAGTGTACTTGTACATTGTGCACGCAAACACGCACGTAAAACATTACGGATAAACGAAACTCTACAGTCAAGAACAAAACATAGCGGCTTAGAGCTTATCACCCTTATAAAACTACATAATCCCGCAAAGACTCTTATGTATATAAATAGCTAAAATATTAAACGCATAACTATTTGTTAGTCACAGGTTTGTAATATGGGAAAATGAAATGTTTCTATTGCACGAAATGTTCAGTGTACTAAACACGCTTATTAATGGAAAGCCATAGTCGACAAAAGTAGTCGAGAATTTTTTTGGAGTCGAGAATTTTTTTACAGTCGAGAATTTTTATGCCAGTCGAAATTTTTTTCGCACCAATTTTTTCCGCGTTTATAGGCGCATTGAAAACAATATGGCGGGTAAATCTTCATCATTGAGTTCTATAATAACTGGAGGGGCAATCTCATCCAGTGAACTCGACATTTGAATAACTGGAATGATAACCGAAGCCAAAAATTGAAGCCAAAAAAATATTTGTCGTCATCATTTGTCATCACACGTCAGGCTCTAGTCTCTCGCGTGTTCATTTTAATTTTTTTAAATCATTTGTCCCTTGGTAATGGTAGAGTTCGGATCTTGATCATTTCGTAAAAATAACGAAATTTTTTGAATGAAAAGGTTCACGGAAAGTGAATCAAAGTGATAAATCGAGAAGCAAGGTCAGGTGAACTTAGTCGATCTGCTCTTACGCTGCTGTTTTCCTTTAAAACATATCAAAGTCTTTAAGGATATTCAATTATTTATATCGAGATGACAACCATTTAGTATTTGAAACACTATCAAAATCGATGAAAAATACAATCGCTCTGTAAAAAGTAAAAATCCGACTTATAGACTCAATATTTTTTATGAAACTGGATACTCAAGTTTCTTTTTTCTTCGGAAAAACAGATCTTTAAATCCACTTAAATGACAAAAGACAAACACTGTCTGACAGCGTTTGAAAATTTACCTTCCGATGTAAGAAAAATTTTTGCTTAAATATTTTCTCGTCATATTTTCTTATTGTATTGTCTTTTTAGCATACAGTGTAATTTTCAGTTGGCTTTTCCTCGTTACAAGTTGTAAGTTACAACGAACTCACTGTAGTAAAGTTTCAGCTGTAAAAAATAGCCTTTTGCGAAGAGTTGGCCTCGTGTGTTGTTTTTCGTGATGTTGTTTATATGTTTATGCTTTTGCAATTTGTATTCAAATTTATATTGGCCGTGTATGTTTGGCACTCAGGGGAATGAAACTGACGTACAAACCGCGTGGATATTCGACTTTGAAGGACTGGAACTGACGTACAAACCGCGCAAGAGACTAGGACTTTGGCTTCAATTTTATATCTATAAAATGTTTTGTCGTTATCATTCCAGATATATATATATGGAGTTAACTGTCTCAAGCGCGGCCTTAGATATCTGATGACGCCAAAAAAATGGCGGATTTCGTCCTTTGCCGCTGAGATTTACCGAAATTGACCGCTTTTCCGAAAATTTCACAATTTCCCACTCCCTCCTGAGGAAAGAGTGAGGAAAATGTATGTGTGTATTTGGGATTCGGCAAGCAATTTTTTGATGAAAATCAATGTAAAAACCTTAAATTCATAACAGCGAGTCAACTGTGGTTTTCAGTTATCTGCTCCTACGAGGATGCATTTATAACTATCGACGAAAGAGCTATACGTCGGCTACACATGTATGAATGTAGATGTGCGTCGTTTTCTTACCAGCGTCAAACTTGTTTGATCGATTAAACTCTTTAGTCTACACAAAAATGTATATCATAGTTCATCTCCACGGTTCACGAGAGAGAAGTTAGCTTATTTGTTATCATTGCTATTTTGCTTCTTTTCATGCAATGGGCAATGGCTTTTTTCGCCACAATTGTAAGATTTTTACTTGTTTCTTTAAAAAAGT